TCTGTAATGGAATACATTTTAAAAGTAACCTTCCCAACACTGGCTAGCTTCTTTAACCTTTATTTCTAGAAAGTGGAATCAGTAAAAATGTCACGGGACTCGATCGTTCTGCTGTCATTTCAAACTTACCTTCATCCTCGTCATTAGCGCTAACAGTGACAACAGCCAGGCCCACATCTGCATTCTCATCAACGCCGACTTCGTACAGTCGCTGAGCGAACACCGGTTTGTTGTCGTTGACGTCGCTGATGAAAACTCTCACATACGCTGTGTCTGCAAGAATGACAGAATGGCAGGAGATTAAACGACACGGCACGCGCAGCTCGCACACATACGCACTCAAACCACTACTGTAAGTGTGTTGCTCTCATTCCATCTGTTTATTGATTCTACAATTCATTGTCACTGTTTAGTGGGGGAGAGGTACTTAACCCAGCACAATGTTGCTCAATGACGTATAAATTAGACAAAACATTACTCACAAAGATCTGCTGTAAATTGCATGAATTATTCATTTTGTCAAGAGTTTATTCTTTTTACAGGAGGGACGGTTCTGAAGAGAAAGAATAACAATAATGGGGCTAAACCTCGTCAGCGAGCTACTTTCCTTTTTTTTTTTAACCGAGCGCAGATAACTAGGAAGGTTAAATATTTATAAGATGACAAGTGTTTGTGTCTTATCTGTGGGCTCCTCATTACATTGTTTATTCCTTTAGTTAAAAAGAGTAAATTATCTGCTCACAGAGCACATGGGTGACATGTTTATTTGGAGCTGCTGCAGTAAAAGATGGCGGAATGTGGCTTTATTTTCTTGGCTTGTTTTTGCATTCGCCTCCTCCGTTTGGTGCATCCCGGGGGTAACAGAGAGACAGGTAATGTTTGCAGGGGAGATGAGCCCTTCTGGATGCGGTAGATATGTAGACACAACTAAGGCTCATCGCAAATGCTAAGCAGCCCTGGCAACCTGAAGAGAGGGTTTTGCTACTCCGAAACACCACCCGGCACTCCTAACACCTCCTTCACAAACAGAGGCAGATACCCCCGTCTAAATACAAATGTCATAGGACGTCATCCTAAACACAGATATTATTACTGCGGAAATGTCACGCTGTGAACAAAGTAAACAAACAAAGGCCTTTCTGGTTAAATTGTGAAAGGAGAAAGGTAAAAAGGGGAAGAAATAAGGGATCGCTACAAGAAAGAGAGTTGGAAGAAATCTCTGAGCTATTTTCACATGGAAGAGAGTGTTGCTGTCTGGTCATGGCAGTAGAATAAATCAAATTAAAATTCACTTTTCAAAGTCAATCCCAAGGTGTAAATGAATGTATTGCCAATGCAGCCTTTTTAAAACACAGTGCACAGAGGAAGCACTCCTCACAGTTTAGAGTTACAGAGTTTCAGCCCTGTAGGCATATAGGGAAAGAACAATGCTGCTTTTTATGAACTGAACATCAGACCGGGGCAGAGGTCACCCTAAAGTTAACTCTGCTAAGTTATAAAGTTTCTCGGAATGCCACAGTAGTAAAAGAACAACATATTTTTGCATCAATTTAAGGCACAGGGACACAATGAATCGGAAGTAGCTGTCGCTAATCATTTATGTCATTGTAACAAAAGAGTAATTTACACAAAGCTGGATTCTCAATTGACTTAATTGTCTGGAATAGTTAAGACATTTTGGCACGCACGCTTTTTCTTGTATAGAGTCAGACCAGTCGATTGAACCCATCAAGTCATTATGTTAAATACAAAGCAAGAGACAGCAGCTTGATACTTCAGCTCTAAAAAACATTCAGAGAATAAACAACCACCAACATCTGTCCAAAGGTAAGAAAAAAAACTCACCTAGAAGGACCCTGAAAGTGTAACAAAAAAATCTAAAAAAATGTAACAGTTACAGATTTTTGTGGAATTTATGTGCCTGCTTCTTTCTGGCTGTGTGCCATAACAAGTTTTTTGCACAGAACAAATCAAATATAACATTTTAATTAGTGAACTCTGGGGGTTATGATAAGCAAATTAGCCAGCTAGTGCAGCCCCGAGCAGCTACAGCATTAAACTCAGGTAAATTGAACCATGCAATCCAGTGCTGTGCTGGGAAATCGTGGGGTCCTGCCATTCGTTTCCATGTCATTTTGACACATGCCAATCATCATGAAAACATTGTTGCACACTCCACTCCCCATGGATATGACAAAAGTTTTGACTTGGCCTCCCAACTCCCTAGATGCCACTGCGATGAACCATTTATGAGGCAGGCCAGAACAATCCGGAACAAACCCAGTCTGTGGAGGCCCTAGCCTGCAGCCTAAGACCCAAAAGAATTAGGGCTGTGTTAGTGAATGATGATGATGAAGGGGAATATTTGATAGCTTACTAATTAAAGTGATTTTTTAGCTCATTTCCACATTGATGATAATTATAACAAATTTAATTTGCCTTGCTTTAGATTTATGTTGCATCTCCACGCAGTATATCCAACACTCTGGCTGTTTATGTGCCTTTTGAGATGTGCAGAGACCAGTTCATGCTTGGACCTTTTGCACGCTTTGAAATTGTGTGTTAAACAGACTGATCCATCATCACCAAGTGAGATGAAACAGGATATTTCTGTCTGCTGGTTTGATTTTTAGATTTGAGCGTAACAAAACTGCACTAGAAGAGACACTTGTTTATTTTATCTCCTTTACTTTTATTTTCACGGGTGTTTATGCCGGTGAAAAATGCAGGGAGGGCGAGACACAGAGGGGAGGAGAGATTGGTGAGCCGTTTTATACATATAAAACAGACTGGATGAGTTAGCAGAACTGCCCAACAACACACAATATATATATATATATATATATATATATATTTAAATATATTTTTTGAGCTTATTTATAATGTTGCCAATAATACATCGGTGCAAGAATAGTTGCTTCAGATTTTGAATTTGCCAAACATGAAACTACTTTAATGAAACTGGACAAGAGTTTTAAGTTGAGATAAAAACTTTCACTCCTTCTTAAAATTTCTCACCTGTGTTGGGCTGTTTGTACTTCCCAGGTCGAGCTGACTCTTGGCCATCTTCTGACTGAACCTCCAGTAAGTAGGAGCTACGGGCCTCACGGTCAAAGACAGCTTCTGTGTAGATAATCCCAAGTTCTGGGTCGATACGAAACAGATTGTGGTCTCCACTGCTGTCGCTCAGCAGAGAGTAAGTGATCTGTGGAGCACAGGGAATTTGAAAATTAAGCTAAAGTAAAGTTTCAAGCAATAACCTGCAGAAACAGCAGAAGTTACAGGCTCTGTAGCTGAAAATGTCAAGAGGGCTAAGCAAATCAATACGCTCCAGTCAACCAATATCGCCACAATCAGTGAGACAGCTGATGAAACAGCTCCCAAACCCACTTCAACAAAACTTTGAAAACAGTGGAACAAAAGCTTCCACGCGGGTGGGATTGTTGTGTGATGTTACATAATGCTCTTTGTAGTGTAAATGGATGGTTTAGCAGGGAAATTTTGTAAAATCACTTCATTTTGCCGTACCTTCACAAAATGATCATAAGTGTATAACCACAAACCTCTCCGTTAAGGCCCAGGTCTTTGTCATGGGCGGATACTTGCAGAACTGAAGTCCCTATCTGGGCTCCTTCGGTCACTGAGGCCTCGTAGATGGAGGATGTGAAAAACGGTACGTTGTCATTGACGTCTTAGGATAGAAATGACATAGTCACCGTGACAATGTGTTCATTTCCTGATATCACTCACAATATCCTTTTTCTGCATTCAAAAGTGTAACCACTGATATTTTCTCAAAAATGAAATGAAACAACACGTTCACCGCAGCAGCTATAGAGGTAAATAACTTCTCTTTAGGCAAGACCAAGTAATCCCTCTTTTAAGTAATTAGAATCTGTATTTACTTTTTAAATAGGTTTTAATACTGTGCCAATTTTATATTGTGTATTTATCCCCAGTAGGGATGCAACGATACCAATTTTTTCAAACCGATACAATACCGATACTTGGATCTGAGTACTTGCCGATACCGAGTACAAAAACCGATACTTCTACCACACACACACACACACACACTTAATTGGAAGACAGGTTTTATTATATTCCCTGCCGATAAAAAATAAAATCTTAATAAAAATGACCACAAAAAAATTTCAAGTGAAAAATAAGCACTTCTGTTAAATTATTGCAGAGTCTCCACATTGTAATTTTACAAAATATCACTGAACTATTGGCACTGTCTCGAGCTTTCAGAATAATAAATAAACACTTCTGTTTGGAATAAAATAAACTTTTAAATTATTGCAGAGTGTCCATATTGTAAACAAACAAACAAAATAATTATTATTAAATAAATAATAAAATATAAACAATTATAAAATAAATAATAAATAAAATAATAATTGGCCCCCTAGTGGCAATCTAAAAACTACAACAGAAATGACAAGCCACCCTCTGATTAATGAAATAAGTTGGTATCGGTTCATGGTATCGGTTAACTTTTACGAGTATGAGTACACACACATTTTACAGTATCGGCCCCGATACCCGATACCAGTATCGGTATCGGTGCATCCCTAATCCCCAGTGTGTTGCTTGTTAACTTCTTTTGTCTCTGAAGCTACATGTGCAAATATACATTATATTAAATATAATATAATATAATATAATATAATATAATATAATACCAATTAAAATGGACTCAGACACAGTTATTAAATAAATTAATAATGATGGTGAAATCTATTCAATTAATTAATTATATTAAATAACAAAGACAGCGAGACATGTACCTGTAATATTCACATAAACTCTTGTGAAAGCTGCAAGCGGCACTGCAGCCACATTTTGCGCCCGGACTTGAAGAGAGAAAAACGGTGTGGTCTCATAGTCCAGCGGCTCGGACACCAGAATGGACGCAGAACCATCTTCCCGGTTGGGAGAGAGGTAGAAACGGACGGGCATGTTGGTTTCAGGGACCATCCCATCCTCGAGGTTGTAGGTCACTCTCGGGTCACCCAGCTGAGACGTTGCCTTGACTGTCTGAATAGCATCAGAAGTTACATCGTGACTGTCTTGAAAACCTGGATTTTAGGTATCAGATGAGTAAGGACTAGCTCCTGAGGCAGAAAGTGATAAATGGAGCATGCATACATCTCATGATAGAGCAAACATCTATCATCTATCATGAGTAAACATCTCATAATAGGAAAAAAAACGTCAGCGAGTTTATGCATGTAGCTGATCGCTCAGCTTATATAATATCATTCTACAATCTTGCTATGCAAATTTGGAAAACATGTTTTTCTGAGGAGTACAGGCATTCAGGAGTCCCCTGAATGCCTGCTAATTTCACGGTTAAATCACTGCTCAATAATATGAGGTCAATGAGTCAATCCAAGAAATAATTAAAGCATTTAAGCACTTACAGCTAGACATCTTTAAATCTCTGGACAAATCATAGAAGCAAATTATTCTATATTAATTAGTTAGTTTTAAAGATGGCAGTGAGCATATTTTTTGTTTTGGACAGAGCCGAAATGTTTGTGAAGGACAGCAGGTCTAATTATGGATGTCATCCATAACAGGCTTAACTAAAATGTTTATGTTTAACAATTTCATGTGTGATTTTGTACAGCCATCCATCTGTCGATATCTTTCTATCAGTAACTAAATAATAAAAAAAAAAATAGTAGTGAAAGGCTCATGGTCACGTTTTCTTTTTTTAATATGAAGTTTTTTCTGTTTTTTACTTAAGTAGTTTCATAGAGTGACTCTTAGGTTACATTCACACTGCAGGCGAAAGCGCATCAAATCCGATTTTTTTGACCCTATGTGACCCATATCCGATCATGGTGTGACAGTGTGAACGGCACAAATCCGATATTTTCAAATCCGATCTGGGTCACTTTCGTATGTGGTGCTGAATCCGATACATATCCGATGTTTTAGAAAGCTGCTGTTTGATGGTCATGTCGCATTAAATCCATCTTTTACGTCACTGACACAAGACAGACGCTAATTATCAGCGCCCGAGAAGACATCGCGAACGCTTCCTGGCCATCCAGTGTAGATGTCAGTGAAACTGTTGGGAAGACAACGTTGGAGAAACGTGAACATTTTATTTGTTCTGTATAATCTGCAGATTCTGACAGAAATCTGCAGCTATCCTTTGAAGCACCGCTCCTCTAAAACAGCAATAAGGATCATTATTAGGTTATTTACATTATTATGTAAATAACAAAATAACTTAAAGCAAAAATTGGGAAACGTAAAATCCGAAGTCTTTATATTAAGGGCCATCAGTCAAACAATATTGTTTGCTCTGGGTCTAAACAGAGCGCGTTGTGTGTGACGTCTTCTTTTGCGCATGCGGGCCGCTTTGAGCGTTCACACTAGAGCGCGTTTGCTGTCGCATTTTATTTGTAGTGTGAACGAGCAGACAAAAAAATTGGAATTGAGCATTAAGACCTGCAGAGTGAACGTAGCCTTACTTGTAGTCTCACTGTGTTATCTCAGTACTTTTTAGTCTCTGAATTCTTTTTCCATTACTGGGCAGATTATATTAGCCATTTTACAGCGATTAATTATAAACACTTAATCAGAAATCAGCCCCTGAAAATGTTCTGTCCCCTCTGTGTTGAGAGTTAAGCTCCACCCCTGAGCTGATGGGCACATTTTCTAACTTCACACAGAGCCAGGTTAGCTGTTTTTCGCTTCTTTTGCTGAGCTAAGCTTACTAGCTGCAGGATACAGCTGTATAACTAACTCCCAGAGATTGAGTGCTATCAGTCTATTCATTCAAGTCAAGACAGTGTCGAGTCAGCATATTTCCTAAAATGCTAAACTACTTTTTTCTTTGAGATTGGTCAAGTTACATTTGTTCACATGTGACAGGTTATTAGCGGTCAGACTGCAGTACGGGTCAGCAGCCTGAAAGAAACACAGGTTATGTCAAATTCTGATTAAATTTTTGCTTCAATGACTGATTATCTTAGAAAGACACAGCGTAGGATGAAAGTCAAACCTGCTGCCTGAGTCCTAAAATAACCTCTTATCAAGAAGTGAGCTGCCTTTTGAAGACCTTGAACAAAAGGACTTTTTTTCCACCTCAGATTGACAGCTATAAATTTTTCACATCAAAGGAGACATTTTCAATGAATTTAATAAGTCTAGTGTCATAAAATTTGCCAAGCACATGGGATTCAATGTCATCTTTCTGCTACAGCATCACATTAGAACTCTTTTACAGGTTTTTCAGTGCACTGAAGAACCTTCTGAGGCATATTTAAGCTCAGTGTTAGCATAATGTCTAAATAATGGTCAAATTGCACTGATTCAGGTAAGCAAGCTAACGTAAACAGCAAATAATAAGATTAATAAATAATAATAATGATAATAATGATAAAGGGAAACAAACATTGTAACAGAAATTGAAGTTGCTTGCATCCTTACCACTATGGGTGTGTCCCTGGCAGTGTTTTCAGGGATGACAACACTGTAGCTTTCTTTTTCCCACTGTGGAGGCTGGTTCTTCACATTGGTGATGGTGACTGCCAGCTCCACAGAAGTGCTACGATTCCCACCATCAGTTGCTATGATATCCCTTGTAATATAGGTCCGCTGTGAACAAAGGGAACAGTTCAATGGGGGAAATTATCATCATATTTGATGTTGAAATGATTACTACCCTGAACTTTAATCTTGTGACTCTCAGTGAGAAAATGAGGCCCTGTTGACACCGTTAGCAGCAACTACCACGATGGCAGGTTTCCGTGTTTATATCTATCTGTGCAGACGTTTTAGCTGCATTATAAGTGACATTAAAAACTTTCAGAAGTCACCGTCACCTCTTTGATTATGTGTTTACTCCTTTATTAATTACATATAGGTCCACAAATGTTTGGACACTGACATAACTGTCAGTTTTTTGTCTGTACTCCACCAAGTTTTAAGGGTCTACAAACATGTTTCCTTTACTGCTTTGAAATTATAGTTAGTCGTATACACAGTCAGCTGTTGTCTTGGGTAAAACATCATATTTCTATTAAACCCCTTGAACAGTAAGTTTCATTATTGTTTCTCTTAAACTCTATTGTGCTTGCATACAAAAGCAAAATTGAGAAAATTGTGTCACTGTCCAAAAATGTACAAATCAAGCTATTTTTGTGATAAAAAAAAACGTTTTTTCATAGCAAAGTGTAATATTTTGCTTAATGTTTAGTAGAAGAGTTAGACCTCTGCGTGACTGTGGGGGCAGCTGTTTCTGGCAGCAGAGCAGCACTAAGAAAAACATGTAGATCTGGGCGTTTTATACGGATATGTCTTTGTGCGAGCAGATGCAAGCAGCGATAAGCTGTCGATCAGCTAATTGGACGACCCAAACTTGGAAACCATTTAGTTAGACTCTAAACAACAAAAGCAGCAGAATGAGCCATAGAAAAATACATTAAGCCATAATTCTGACTCCATAAAAGCCCTTTTGTTACTGTGCCATAATTGAATTCCAAGGACATAAGGGAGTAAATTTGACTTGGGGACTGCATTTCATCAAAGTGGACACCACAAGAAAAAGTGAAAAGAGTCCATTAGAGTGTTTGAGTCCATTTACCTAAATTAAACAATGAGTAACATTAAAACTACACTCACGCCAAAGTGAAGAAGAAGAACATTTAGAAACGTGTCCTTTTACCCACATATTATAATTGTATTTCATAATAATGACCAAGTCAGTGTTACAGAGCTTAAATGAAAAATTGTTCACTTTTATTTCACCACGAATTCAATCGTTCAGCTTTAACATTTCGACTACCAGCTGCATTATTCTGTTAATGTAAATCAGGGCCGGCGACTATTATTGTGCAGCAGTGGTCAGATAAAAACCAATCTCCCTGAAGTTCAGTATTAGATTTTCTATTTGTGGGACAATCCAATTAGTATTTTTAAAGTAATGCAACTCTTTTCCAAAGCTTGAAACCAGAGAACAAAGATTGCAATCTGCAATGCCCAATATGGACCCAGCAGCTGCTGCTTTTACATTAAATGAATATCTGACTTGGTAATACTTGGAAATTAAATTTGCTGTGATAGTGTCAGATCTCTACCAGAACATATAAAATATTCTGGATACGGTCATGGCAACCTTTTCCATCTTTTCCACTTAATTCTCTGCGGAACCATGCCGTACAGCGTGTTGACACGGGATGAGGTCGGCTCTGGCTGTGCACGTCTCAGGGCATAAGAACATTCGTAGTTGCTCAATGGCATATCTCTTCCATTAAAGTGCTTCGAGTCAACTAGGAACAGCGCTTCGCATTTTACTGTGAAGTGTGGTTTGAAATTTTAGCCTTAATTCTTTTTCAATGTAATCAGAAACTGCGATGAGAAAATCAAAAAGAACAACGTCTCAAACCAGCGAAGACATTTAACATTTAATGAAGTGCTTTTATGGTTACAGCACAAAGATTGTTGCAGGATCCAAATAACTTCTGAAACTACCCTAAAATATGCAACAGCTTTGTTAGGCGAGGTTTTGTGCTTAGCGTTATCAATTTTGCATGAAGTCAGCAGCAAAATTGCCAGAGACTTTCGACACCAGTGCAGTAAAAAGTATGTTAAATAATAAACAGCCCTATAGTGCAATAGCAGGTTTCGGGCCAAAGAGCAGCTCCTGTTGAATAAATTAAGGTGAAAACAGGAAGCCGAGCACTGATAGGTCTCAGAAAGGCTACAACATGCTTGTGAAGAATGTAAGAAATAAAAAAAAGTGTTACATTACCGGCATTGACATTATAAATCACTTGAAGCTGACAACACTCAGCTCAGGAAACTTTGAAGATAGCGTTTTTAGGTAGTTTTCATACAGAAGCAAATTATGCATACATGTAAAATAACTTCTGAAAACAGCTGTGTAATTTATCTTAAGGGGATTCATCTTTGTATTTCACACTTCTCCAAAGATTGTGGCTTAGTGTTTTCATTTTTCATAAGCTGTTAGCAGGGAGGTTAACTTTGCATTCGTAATCTTCCCCACAGTGTTTCAGTTAATCACTTCAAAATACAAAAAATCGTTTGTTGGTGCACACTGTCAGTCTTTTTATCAAAGTCTCAGATGATAAACGACGATGAAAGAAAGCTTTACATATATATATATCAAAGCCACAGCATTTATAAGAGACAATGAGTTGCGGTGTATGGTAATTAGCTTCTTTTAAACCTGTGCCATTAATTAAAACACTTTTTTTGACTGCTACTGCAGGTAAGAGGATGTTTTTGCACATTTAAAGGAAAAGTCTTTGTAACGGAGCGCTAGAAAAATGCTAGTCATTAAACAGAACCAAAGGACACACAAGTTGTTAAAATGTATTTTGAATAATTTGTTTAGGCTGAATTAGTCTCCCTCCATCTTCTTTCTCTGTGGTATTTCCACATCCAGCACCTCTGGGAGTAGACATACTCAAGACTGGTAGTGGCAGTTAGAGGCACTTTGAGGTGCCTCATTCATTAACTTTGTTGACACAAACCCACAGGCCACTGTGTGTGTCGTCCTGGTATAACTCATTTTGCGGGGACATAATCTGCTTACACAGTCTCATTGCGAGGACATGCCTTCGTTGTACGCAAAAAAGTAAATTCCTAAAAATGAAGGTGAAGACCTGGAAAAGAACAGTTAGTGTCTCTGTGTGTGCGTCTGCACTGGCTGTGGTTGACTTGCCTGTGAGATGGGCTGGTTAACATAGACCCATCCAGTGATGGGGTTGACCTGCAGGTACTCAGGCTGCTCCAGAGACATGGCGTAAGTGATAGCTGCATTAGTGCCAAAGTCATCATCGTGAGCAGCAACACGCAGAAAACTGGTACCGACCAAAGTGTCTTCCCTCAAAAAATCTGCACGGGAAAGAAATAATGTATGTGCACTCACTTTACTGGTCAAAGAACTTGCATTATAGTAGCTTAGTGCAAAGGATGATGAAGATCCTTAGGAACAAAAATAAAACCTCTTGGGTTCTCTAAAAACATCCTCAATTAAATCAAATTACTATATAAAGGTGCACAAAGTCAGTCAAATTCGCTATGACTTAATATCAGTTTTATTTACTTCTGCATTTTTAATGGGTCCTGGTTGTGCCGCTGCTTTATTAATGCATATTTCATTTGGACGTCAACAAGAATAACATTTATCCCAAACTTACACTCATAGCGCAAATTCTCAAACTTGGGGCTGTTATCATTTTGGTCCAGTATTTGGATGGTTAGCTGACAGATGCCGATCAGTGGCTCCTCCGCCCAATCAGTAGCCGTTACTGTGATCGAATACTCTCTTTGCCGCTCCCTGTCGAAGCGCCGGGCTGTCACAATCACTCCTGTAAATACAGAATAATGATCAAACACGCGCACGGCAATACCACACAGTGCTTCTGCACCCCGGTATTTCCACCAATCAACCCAAGATTTTGTAAACAAGTAAACAATTAGGAAATTCTTCTGAGTAAGTCGAGCATTCCTTTCAAGTACGGTGATTTTGCTATTAAATCTTGAGATGAAGACGACTGAGCACGAGCCTAAAAGAAAATGACTGACAGAATAACACGTTGCCTGCCTGTGCCAGGACTTCTGAACAGCTTCTCTATTTGTCTACCCCTTAATTATGTACACTCATTTTTTATAATCACACTGAGCTTCTCCCAAATTTAATCAAATGTTAATCAATATACAGGTTTTGGCATTTGACTTAAATTCCTAAGAATAACAA